CCAGCTAGCCAATCAGCGCGCTGGGGCCGTCAATCGGCAATAGTGCCAAAAATTTAATGTGCTTTTTAAGCGTTCTTTAATTTTCAAAAGAATTAACGGTTTAAAAGTGTTAACTAAAGACCAGTAAATTGTTACGGCTACAAGACAAATTTTTCTAGTTGAAACTGTTTTCCTGAATTTATTGTTTTCTAAAAAAAACTATGCCTTATTTGTTTTCTAGTCATTTTTTAGCTGCTTTTATTTTCTAAAACTGGGTTTATGATATTATTTGTTAAATACATTTTGTCGTTGCACTTTTTTTTTTCAGTGTGACCGGCAACAACAACAACAACAACAAAAAAAAAAAAAAAAAAGGAAAGGCTGTATGCTCTATGTTACAGGTTTATTACTAACTCCTTGTCTTTTTTATTTATTTTTTTTTCTTTTTTACTTGCCGTCGATTACTTAACAAAGCCATAACACGGTTATCATCTGTCTGCTTGTTGTTGATGTTTGCAGCTGTAACAGATCACTGTGATGATCAAAGTGTAATCTGCTATTACTGGATCAACAGTTACGACCAAACAACAGTTGATTACTGAAAGTGACGAGAATCATCATCTATGATCGCAGTACCGAACACACCAATCTGTTCCATCCTATTTTTTTCACAAATGCAAAAAAAAAAACCACATTTATTTTCGCACTGAACAACTTTTATCCTCATTTTTACTGAATAGCAAAATTTAAGAGATTTAGGGAGTTGTAGTAGCATCACAACCAGTTGAAAAATCTTGAAATTGGTCTATACTACATCTGTACCTCTTACTCAACAACATAAGGTGAAATAACATTTACAGTAGACAGAAGTAAACATGATATGAGAAAGCTCAGTTGAATTGATAAGCAAATTTTAGAAAGCTTAAGTGCTAATAGTATGCAGTTAGACTTGTTGTTTAACTAACGACTAATATGTAGAAAGAAAATGGCATTTTTTTCTTTGCTACTGTAAAAATCGAACGTTGTACTGATCTATTTTTTTCTGCTTCTTATGGTTGAATGTTCAAACATAAGCCTAACAAACTTGCTTTTTTTGTCGTCTTATAGCATCTCAGCAGCCAATATGGGCTGTTATCGACTACTAACTGCTGGTAAAAAACTATAAAGACTAAAAAAGGTTCAATAAAACAGTGTTTTGCTTAATCCAGAAGGTTGATTAAAAAGACGGAAAAGAAGGTGAAGGCTTTGAGCAGAGCAACAGATTTGCTGTCGCCTGAATTATGATATTCATCAAGGTTTTTTAGGCAAAGTCTATTAAAAACCAAAAATTTCTTGAAGTTCTGTTTTTTACTATTTTTTTGCCGTAATTGCTACTGCTTATTTATGTTTTTTTTATTGTTTTATTATATCAACTGTATAGGCAAATTGCATTTTTCACAAAAAATTGCTGAAGCATCATTAAAGTCAATAAAATTTATTGTTTTGGTCTGCTAACCATGATTAACAGATTTTAAATTGAGCGCATAGTGTATCAATATTAGTTCCACTCTTCAAGAACTGTAGTGCAACGTTTACAAGAGAACCAATAAATGCTTTGCATACTGCTACACCGTCTGAAGGAGCATATTTTTCACACTCGCTGTTACCAAATGTCTGAAAGAAAAAACATGCATTTCTTGGAAGGAAGTGATTAAATCAATGTGTTTCATTTTGCTGCCTAATAGTATTGGCCACGAGGCTGTGGTTGAGGCTTTAGATGAAAGAAAAAATTGTAACTGACCTGTTATAGCCAGGACTTATCAATCTAAAAACACTATACACTTACAATAAAAACACTATACACTTACGATAGCTTGTTCTGTGGTTACAGAAGAGAAGTTGTTATTGAACTCTTCTTTAGCATCTTTTACCATATTTTGGCACAAAAGGCATTGCTCTGATTCACAGTATGCTACAGCAACGATCATGCAAAGCAGAACAATCAGTGTTTTCATCTCGTCCGTTTAAACTGCCTAAATGTTTCTAATTGATCATAGCAGCTATGTCTGGCTGAAGAGAACATCAAGTTTTACCAACTAATACCAACCGTCGTCTGGCAGACTACATAGTTGGCGTTACAAAGTTACAAAGATTAGTTCAAATTGGAACAGAGTATTAACGTCTATAAGGTTTTTTTAGTTAGCTTTTGACAGATGTGATTTCTAAAAAATAAGCGTTTTTTAAAAGGTAAAACAATAAATTTTGAAATTAACAGAAGTAGTTGCTGAATAGCCAATAAAAAAACTTTAGAAATCAGCACGCAGACAATAAAACTGAACTGGGAAGAAAGTAGCAATGAACTGCCGTACAATTTATGATAGTCACTTAGCTTTATTCTTATATACTGTTAACGGTTGACCTGATTTATAGCTTAGCTATGCGGCTTTATCAACCAACATTTTAGTGTACCTTTTTCTCTGTTTCAAAAATGTAGAGTAACCGATAAGGTTGCAGCATCCAAAAAAACTTTATAAACTGATGTAGTTAATTTGGTTACGTGGAATTAAAGAACAAAGGTAAAAATAGCATGACTTATCGGTTTCTGTTATTTGTCAGTACCACTAAAACAGTATGGTATTTTCATTTGTTATCTCGCCAACTCCTTTACCAAATATTTCGTAATTCTTTAGGTCAAAGGTAAATCTATTGTTTCTGTCATAAAACACCTACAGAAAAAATGAATTGATCTTTAGCCTGCAGTAAAAAGCGACTAAAAAAGAAGGTTATTTTTTTTCTTTTTTCTTTTGACTTTTTCTTTCTATTCTTCTTTTTTCCAAAAAAAAAAAAAGAAAACGTATTCAGAAAGGTGTTGCTGATATTTAGTTTTTGGATAGACTACATATCGTAACAGATGACGACAGAGTTTGACTTTTATAAAAGCGTCTTAGACTACACCAGGTCCATTTTTTTACTTCTGGTGCTGCTACTGTTTTTAACGAAGATGTGTAATTTTATTGCTGTTGACTGTGTGATATGTTTCCTGTTTTGTAACTGTACAAAAGCATAAAAAAAAGCATAAAACATAAAATAGTTTATGAGCATTACACAGGGAAACAAAGTGCTTTGACGTAATCTGATAATAAAGCTGTTTCTTATTTATTTCTACATTGCTTTATAGCTTATGTTGTTGTATGACATAAAATCTTTACAACTCTGATTCATAAATGATGACAAAGAAAAAAATAATTTTCATTTTTTACGGACTCCAGAAAAGGATGTTCAGACAGTAATACAATAGAAGTTTTTCCCAACTTCTTAAAAAATAAATAAATTGTTGAAAAAATTTTTTTGCTATTTATTATATAGTCGTAACTAAAAATAAAAAGTTTCCTTTTTTACTTTTCTTGATATAAACAAGGAATCTTTCAAAATTTTAACTACTTCTACTCAACAAACAGCTCTTGTTTAAATAATTTTTGCAACTTATTCAGTCTAAGGTTACTACAAAAAACTACACTAAACAAGTGGTATTGTTCAAAAGATGAAGAAACAATTTTAAAGTTAAACATAAAGCGGTAATGTCAATTTTTAATATGTTGAATAGATGCTTGATTTTCAAAAATTTTTATCGTAACAAGTTTTTTTTCAATATTGAAGAAAACAAACATTTCTGTGATCAAATGTTTATAGATTTTAGTTACTTTATTTTGTTTACAGCTAAACAAAATAAAGAATCCTTTTTAAGAATGAAGCATGAAAC